AATTCGAAGATGTGATTATATAATCGCTCAGACTTCTTGGAAAGTTCAATCGAAAATATTACCTTCCAATGTCATACCAAGGAACCGCTGAAAATTTGGTGTCAATCGGAACGGAACTTTTCTATCAACTCCTGAATAGAAGCCTCTATGAAGCAAACACTACTGGTGCACATAAAGATGAAAATTGTACCCATGTCGAAGCTGAAACTGCATCGAGGAGAAGCCAGCTGAGCGGTAGAGGTGCGAATATACAAGTCATCTAAAAACAGAGGAGACAAACGCACCAGCAACTCCAGAATGCTCACTACAGCCAGCTGTTGTGCGACCTAAAAAGATTACGGCAATGATTAAATAGTATTCTCAAAGGAGGAACAACAAAACATACTCTTTTACGGAACAGATAGTAGTAAGTGGGATCAGTGAATCGTTCCACTACATAATTTTTGAAAATGGATGGTCCAATAAAATTCTCAACAACAAAACCCCTGAAAGCATTGTACAGAGATTTCACGATATTATTTCAGCTCTGCAAGTGATGCGTCATTACTGGTGATTGTATTGCTCAAATTAGCAAGTGTGCATGAAGACGAGAGACTTTGGAAATCTTCAGAAGTCTTTGAAAGACAGCGCAGAATTAGAGGAATCTCACACCGCAAATAGAAGTAATCGTAAGTACCAGATACAAAGAGTACCTGTACGTCTCTAGCATTGCTGTGGCAAGACTGCCTTCAGAGGCTGCTATCCTGTCGTAGTACATTGTTATTGCGTCGTCAGGTCTCATCCCGAAAGTCATACCATATTCAGCAAATACATCAAGAGGACGTATAGTGTCGAAAATATGCGGCTTTTTAGCAACAAAGCTCATTGAATAGGCACCTATATTACATGCATTACATCACATTTGCACAGAGATGAAACAAGATTCCAAAATTTCAAAGAAGCTCACCACCAACATCCACAAGAACAGCGTGCGGTGATACAACCAGCTGATTAGGTGTAAAGACGAATAAATGGCGACGTGCAGTTTCCTGAAATCACTGCATCTAATTGCAGAATACTAAAAAAATTCTAGAAACGAGAAATTGTACAAAGATGTTATGTGATATTCCACGCAGAGATGGATCAAAAAAGTAAGACCAGATGCTCCCCAGATGAAGAACAGATTCATATCGATCAATCCAGATCAGAAAAGTGATACAAGTGCTTAAGGATTTGAAAATCGGAACTTACCCGTTCTTTGACTAACAACGTTTTTACAAGTTGCAAATACTGCTGACAACGATTCGTTTTTTCTTCGAAAACTGATCGCTGGAGATAGTAAACGCTTGTCTGAAATAAAACATATCTGTAACGCATGCGCTGCAAAGTTTACAAAGAATATTATGCGGTTCAATCTACTTGCAAAGCAAAAACTTTAAGCTGGTGTAGCTATAATGTAACTATTTCTTAAATGATAAGGCGAAGCCGGAGCAAACTTAGAGTAACAGTCGAGGGAGTACCTTCCCATTAACAGCCATAATCTGCAGTCTCTTCATCACTCGTCCACTCCTGACTACAACTTCGACATGCGGGTTGAATCTTGCTATCAGTGTAACATACTGATACTGCTAAATATAACAAATTTGGTGTCAGAAAGGGGTTACGGTTAAGTTTAAACCTTAGTAACATTGGCATTGAACGATGACGGTATTTCTGTACATGCCATTGCACTACTGTAGTCAGCAAGAAACTTGCTGGATAATCGAATAGGATATCGCCTGAAAGGAATATAGGCTACTGGAAACTATACTTTCTTCTTCTGGAATGATTTTAAGATAAGAGAGTCAGAAAATGAACCTTGGCAGTGAATATAATCGATTATGTAGTTTTGTCTGCCATTTTATGACACTTTCAGCCAGCTTGAGCAAAGCTGGACCAGCTAAGGCAGCATCATTAAGAAAGTCCAAGACCTCTGTACGGAACTCCTCAATGAACTAAATGAGCAATCAGAGAAAAAGACGGAGGAACTAACAAAAACATAGGTAAACATAATGAGCTGACTATGTTTTACCTGTTCCTCATTTTGGAGCGGGAGCGCATGTCGAGACGATGATGGAACTTCATTTTCTCGAAGTATATCGTCAGTGATGTTTGCCTCGAGATCGGCGCGCCAAAGCGATAATGCAGCTGAAGCTTTTCTATCCAACTTTGCTGTTTCCAGCCGAGTTTCCCGTGCATCGTACAAACACCTGCAAGACCCAGAACAGTGAAGAAAGATCAAACATAACCAAATATTTTCTTTCTGTTTAATGAACTCGTGCAAAATTTTGTTAGAAGCCTATA